TAAATCCCCTTTTACCTTATTTATGTCCATTTGACACATGGAATTAATAGTAAAGGAAAAATTTGTAATCATTCCCAATAAAATATATCAGCTTAAAAAAGAAAAAAAAAAGTTAACCTTTACTAATTAGAAGTTTTGTAACTAAATCAGGGGAGTAGTTAATCTTACAGTCCAGGAACAGAGGACCCTACGGCCATCTAGGGAGAAGAGCACGAGCAGAATGTGGGACCCTATCCAGAGAAGCAGCAACACCAGAGATGGAGGCAGAGATGAGGACATGGAGAGAGAGAGCAGCTGAGGACTCTAGACTCATGGATAGAGAAAGGCTGTGTGCTGGTGTTCAGGAAACAGGCTTGCAGAATGTGCCCTTTGGTGGTTTAAATGATTATATATTCCTGCATGGGTTTTTGTGTACATCTAAAAAAAAAAACCACCCAGAAAACAGAGGAATATAAGCAAATACTGCTGAGTGGTGATGCTCAAAGAAGATTGTAATCCTTGCAATGAAATGATGAGTGTAAACCAATGTGCTCCCATTAAACTATCTCTCAAGTCACAAGAAAAACTTAGGGACAAAAAAGCCTAGTGGTTGCATATAGGGCTGCTAACCTCAGGGTCAGCAGTTCGAAACGACCAGCTGGTCTGCAAGAGACAGAGGAGGCTTTCTGCTTCTGTAAAGATTTACAGCCTTGGAAACTCTGTACAAGGTCGCTGGGAGTTGGAACTGACTCCACGGCACATAACCACCCACCACCAGCACTACTGTGGTTTGCAGGCTTGTGAGAGTTGATACTATTTTGTTCCTCATTTACAGATGAAGACGCTCAGATAGAAAATGTTACATAATTTGATTGAGGTCACACAGCTAGTAAGTGGCAAGATCTAACCCAAGTTTTAGGAGAAAGGCAGGTCAGATATCTAGCCTACCTGCTTCCTTTTACTGACCTCCAGGGGGCACTTGTAAGCATTGTTGTTGTTGTTAAGTAATGTGTAGGTTTGGACTCATAGTGACCCTGCACAGGGTTTCCGAGGCTGCAGATCTTTACAGGAGCAGAAAACTTCATCTTTCTCCCGCGGAACAGCTGATAGCTTCGAACTGCTGACCTTGAGGTTCGCAGCCCGATTCGTAACCACTACACTACGGCATAATTTGTGTTGAGTCCTCAAAATAATGCCCGGCCTATCCTTAACTCTCAGTAAATGTTGTTGTTAAGTGTCATTGAGTCGGTTCTGACTCATAGTGACCCTGTATAGGGTTTCCAAGGAGTGTCTGCCGAGCTTGAACCACCGACCTTGCAGTTCAGTGCATTAACCTGCAGCGCCATACCAGAACTACCTATTATTATTATTGAAAAATCACAGGACTCAAAGGGGCTATTGACAGACGAAATAGCCAGTTACAGTGAAATGCTGTCCAACCTGAATATCAAAGAGGTACGCATTAACATAAAGTTAGAATGTTTTCATCTTTTCTCCTGGCAAGGATGAAATTGAGAAGTATTTAGGTGCAGATGCAGGGGCAGTGAACACTCACACGTTCTGTTCTTGGAGGTGTACGTTGTATAATCTGTTTAAAATACAGTCAAATCAGTTTTAATGTGTACGGGAACTTGGATCTGGCATTCCCATTTCTAGCGTTGTGTTCTTCAAAAAGGCCAAAACAAGCATGCAGAAATAAATGTAAAAAAATATTAATCACAATCTTAACAATAGCAAAAAAAAAAATGACGTCACTGCAATGTCCATTGTCGTTGTTGAGTGCCGTCTAGGCGGTTCCAGCTCAGAGCATCCCTGTAGAGGGTCCTTAAAAGGGGACTTATTGGTACAGCTATTCAGATGAACATTGTGCAGCCCTTAAAAAGGACAGAGACTCATTGCCTCACCAAGAAGCTGAACTTCACCAAAGCTTATAAGGGTACCATTTTAACTGCTGTAAGGCATGACAGGTAACGGCCTCACTCCTCATCCCTCTAGTTTGTCCTCGATTTCAAAGAAAAGCTTTCAGCTGACTAAACTCCATGAAAGCCGAGTTCCAGCGACACCGAGGGCGAGTCTGAAAGGCTCGCAGAGGAGCCTGTTAGTGGCTCTTAGCTCAGTTGCCTAAGGAGAAGCTGGTCGTTGTTCTGCTCTCTGCACAGCCAGGCTTTCCTCTGGCTCGTGGGTCCAGGGATGTAGAGGCTGGCCTCAGAACAGCCATCTATCTGCCTTGCAGCTCAGCTCTTCTGTCGTTCCCTTGTCCCTCCTTCCTCCTCCAGCTACTTCTTCCTGTGCTCGTACTTGAAGGGATGTCGGTGGGGGAATGGGAGCATGCCAGGGAACCGTGCTCTCCCAGGCTTCCCGTATCTGACTTTTTTCTGTTGAAGTGTTTACCAAGAACCTGTGCAGTCAGATGTCAGCAGTCAGCGGGCCTCTGCTACAGTGGTTGGAGGACAGACTGGAACAAAACCAGCAGCATCTGCAGGAATTGCAGCAAGAAAAGGAAGAGCTGATGCAGGAACTCTCTTCCCTAGAATAGGATAAGATAAAATGAGGTAACCTTTTTTTTTAATTTGTGCACTAAATGTAATCTGTGAAAATGTACACAGCTCACATGTAGACAGCCAATAGACCGGCTCTCATTGTCCTAATGGATGAGCTTTATGCTTGCAGCTGACACAGGATGCCCTTCGGGAAGTTTTAGTAATGCTGCAGACAGAAGCCATCTAGCTATAATGAGCGTCTGTAAGATGATTTGAGTAGAATATGAATGTTTCCAAAGTTATGGAAGCTACTATATTAGCAAGGGACATCTTGGAAGAAAACGTCTGGGGAATAGATTTGGAATGGTTATTTTCCCCTTGTTCTGTCTTGATTTTCATGTTCAAATATACTCACGCCATTGAATAAGCAGAAGGAAGAACAGCATTTCATGTTTCAGGTTTGTGGTCACAGGTCACAAGTGCTCATACAGCAGATCTAGTGGAAGGACCTACTAATGCTTACCCCTCAGTGAGAGGCATCATTCTCATGGGTTCCTTCTCGAGCCCCAAGATATGTATTCGGAGATGGCTGAGCTAGCAGTGGGACTGACATACCAAAGCTACAGTCTATGGGGATGCCTGTTTCCAGCCCAATAGAAAAGTTACAGCGTATTAAGCAAATCCTGTTTACCTTGGAGGTTCCATTATAATATAAACGTGTTTTTCCAGAAACAGTCAGGATTGAGGATGTCATAAAAATCATGCCTTAAAAAGGTCTTTTGCATTAGTATTATCACGTGTAGCTGTAGATGATAAGTGTGTCCTTAGGAAAGGGCATTGCAGGCTCAAAAGTTAAAGTTGGGATTGGGGAAGGAGCAAAGAAGGAAAACCGAGAGAGCCTAATCCCAACAATGGTGCTAACGGGTTGTTTCTAGTTTGACTTTGCTTTTTTCTGACCATTATATCAGAATTCCTTGGAGCTCAAACTCAGTCCCTTGGGGCGGGTTCTGAGGCCGCTTCTGTCAAGCTCATGGAACATGAAATCTCTGGTTTTCCTAGTTGCCCCCTGTCACCATTCTCTATTCTGTTCTTTCCCTACAGGAAAACTCAACTATTCACTTGTAAAATGCATGAAGCTAAATGAATTCTGAAGAAGTGTAAAGTGGAGGCCTCCCATTAGTTGATGTCAAGACTTACTAGAAGTCCACAGTAATCAAGACGCTGTGGTGTTGGCCAAAGGGTGGACATGTGAATCAGTGAAATACAAGAGAGACCCTAGAAACAGACCCACACAAATATACCCAAGTAATTTTGACAGAGGTGTAAAAGCAATTCGGTGGAGAAAGAAGAGCCTTTTCAACAAGTGGGCATCCATAGGTCAAAGAAAAATGGACGTCAACCTAAACTCACACATAATGCACAAATTAACTCAAAATGAATCATGAACCTAAGTGTAAGATATACAACATTTAGGAAAACAATTTTTGGAGAAAAGCTTCTAGGGTAGATAATGAATTCTTGGCCTCTACCCCAAAATCATGAACCACGAAAGAGAAAAACCTCGATATACTGGACTTCAATTAAAAACTTTTGCTGTATGAAAAACTTAAGAGGAAAAGACAAGCTACAAAAGACAAGAGAGCAATTATTTCTAAATCATTGAGCTGATCAATCTGTAAAATATGAAGAATGCATCAGACTCCCCAATTTAAAAAACATCAGAAAATGGACAAAAGAGGTGGACATTTCACTGAGGAGGAGACACGGATGGCAAGTGAGCACATGCCAACATTAGCTGTCAGGGAAATCGAAATCAAAGTCATAATATGGTATCAGCACATGCCTATCAAAATGATTAAAGAAAAGATCGTGATAATACCAAATACTGTGCAGTAGGACAAAACTGACTCTCTCAAACATTGCTGGTAGGCATATCAAATGGTACACCCACTCTGGAAAGGAACTGGGAAATGTTTTATAAGGTTTGACATACACTTACCATGTGACCCAGTAATTGCTTCTTCACATTTATCTCAAAGAAATGGAAGTCTGTATCTGCACAAAACTCTGTACGTAATGTTTGTAACCACTTTATTGGTAGTAGCCCCAAACTGGAAACAACCCGGATTCCCTTCAACAAGTGAGTGGTTCAGCTGTGTTCCATGAAAAGGAATGAAATATTGCACTTAACAACTTGGATAAATCTCAAGGGAATTATGCGGAATTAAAAAACCCACCCAGTTTCAAACCGCTTTGTATACTGTCTGAGTGCATTGACATAGCATTCTTGGAATGACAACATTATAGAGTGAAGATTGCTGGATGCCCGAGACGATAAAGCAAACAGTGCAGAGGAATTCTGTTGTATCTTGACTGTGTGGTACTGCTTACCCAAGTCTGTAGTTGTTAAGTGACGTCGAGTCAATTCCAATCATAGTGACACTGCCCAACGGACCAAACCCTGCCCGGTCCTGAGCCAGCCTCCCAGTTGTTACATTCGAGTCCACTGCTGCTGCCACTGTGTCAAGCCATCTCATTGGGGGGGTCTTCCCAACGTTACCAATCATGATGTCCTCCATCATTGCATAAAACAACACACACATACACACACACAAATGAATGCATGGAAAATCTGGCAAAACTGAGTAAGGTCTGTAGTCCAATTAGCAGTATTGGACTCGTTTCTTGCCTTTGAAGTTGGGATATAATTGTGTAAGCTCTTACTATTGGAAAAACTGGGTGAAGACACTCTTTGTACTATTTTTGCAACTTTCTGTAAGTCTATAATTATCACAAAATAAAAATGACAAGTATTAACCAGGAAACTAGGAATTATGGTACTTGTTTTATGGGAATAAAAGAGTGATAAATTCTGCAAAGAATAAAATGGTTTGAATATTTTTACAAATCCCTTTCCCTTTCTGGACCTCATTTTCCTTATGCACAAAATGAACAGGTTCTAACAGTTCCTTTTCGTTCAGTGTTCAGTCTTTGAAAGTCTTGGACATCCCAAGGAACAGCCATGTAGATAAGAACAAGGTTGGAGGCCTCTCACTCCCTGATTTCAAACTTTACTACACGGCTACAGTGGTCAAAACAGCCTGGTACTGGTACAATGAAAGATACAAAGATCAATGGAACAGAATCGAGAATCCAGAAATGAACCCACACACTGATTTTCGACAAAGTGCCTAGCTATATTGTATGGGGAGGAGATAGTCTATTTAACAGATGATGCTGGCAAAACTGGAAAGTGATATGCAAAATACTGAAACAAGACCTTTACCTCACGCCCTATACAAAAACAAACTCAGCATGGATTAAAGATCTAAATGTGAATCCCAGAATTATGAAGATCATCAATGAAAAAAGAGGGACAAATGTGAGGGCTCTAATTCAGGGCATACACAGACTACCAAACATTTTGAAAGTTACACAAACAAAAGTAGACAAAATAGATGAGTGGGACATACTAACAAAAACTCATGTGCATCAAAAGACTTCAACAGAAGAGTAAAAAGGGGACCCACAGAATGGGGAAAAAAATCTTTTGCAATGACATCAGACAAGGGACTCATTTCTAAAATATATAGGAAACTACAACACCTCTAAAAGAAAAAGACAACCCAATTAAAAAATGGGCACAGGACATGAACAGGCACTTCACCAAGGAGGAGATCCGGGCAGCCAACAAACATATGAAGAAATGTTCACGATCACTAGCCATCAGAGAGATGCAAATCAAAACAAAACATCTCACAGCAGCAATAACAGCGAAGATAAAAAAAAAAAAGTGAGGACAATAAATGCTGGTGAGGGTGAGGAAAGACTGGGATCCTCCTACACTGTTGGTGGAATTGCAAAAAGGTCCAACCACTCTGGAAAGCAATATGGTGCTTTCTCAGAAGGTTGGAAATAGAAATACCTTATGTCCAGCAATTCCTCTACTTGGTATTTACCCACAAGAAATATGAGCCATGACACTAGTAGATATATGCACACCAATGTTCATAGCAACACTATTTACAATAGCAAAAAGATGGAGACAGCCAAAGTGCCCATCAACTGACGAATGGATAAACAAACTGTGGTACATACATACAATGGAATACTATGCTACCTTGAAGAACAATAAGGAAGCTGCAAGCCACTGTACAACATGGATGAAACTTGAGGACATTATGCTGCATAAGACCATTGTAAAAGATTAAGAAAATGAACCCACCCAAAAGGGAAATATATATATATATAATTGCTGATCACCAGGATGTATGGGATGAGAGGAGCACAGGGTAGAGAATAGAATAGACACAGGAAAGCTTGGGTTCTGGGGTGGGGGCTGACAATACACAAGAAGGGGGAGGGAGATAGACGAACAAGGCTGATGGGAGAACAGTTAGGCAGGTTTGCATGGACTAAGTGGGCCAGAGGTAAATGATGATGTATGCACAACCTTGAAATAGGACTTCAGGAGACAGGGATTGAGGCATGGTTTGAAAGGGTAAAAGAGGGGAATAATATTAGGATGCTTGGCTGTCTTTTGAATCTTGGTTTCCCTTGCCTACCATTGTGAAATAGACACTTGGGGGTGGTGAGGAATAGCCAGAAATGTCACAATAGAAAGCATGTAAGCCCATCTTCAGCCTATAACTGATTGGAATACCTTAAAGGGGGCTAGAAATCGCCCAGATCCAAAATGGGAGGGGGGCCCTATAAAGGCAAGAAGTGACTGGCTTACAAGCTTTCAAGAGGGAGCCTAGTTCCAGATAGGGCAGGGGTAGGCAGAACCTACACTGAATGGTTTCCAATCTGCTGGGACCCGGCTTGCGAAAGGAAATGGGGATAAGAGTCTTGTGGTACAACAGTGAATAGTTGTCATCAGGACTGACTGTGAGGGCCAGAAATGTATAGGTAGATGTTGTTTTGACAAAAGGAGGGGAGTGATTGATTTTGCAGCCCATCAAGTGAGAAGAGCGGAGAGCATGACCCTACCCAGATTGGCAGTGAGGCCAGGCATGGAGACAGAGATGCTGATGTGGACGGATGGAGTGTCTGGGAACACGGGGACTCAGG